TTTTTTTTTTTTTTTTCGAAACGATAGATTTTATAGATAAAAATACATAAGTACAACTAGACAACAACTAGAATAGTCAAACAAACCATCTAACTGACTCTAAGAAGACTACCATGCGGTGAGCGTCTAGATACTACTTCAACTCACCCACGAGATAAACAACTTAACAAACTAAACAAATCACAAAAATAGAATAAAAATGCTCTTACACGAGGAGAATAAACAGCTAAATTAAGAAAACACCACAACACTACAACAGACACCAACAAATACACAACAACAAACACCAACAAAACAATACATAATACAAAATAGGTAGAATAACACTCTCCTCTCCACAGGCGAGACAATTCGTAATACACCGTGACCCGACACCAGAAACAACAGTCGGGATAGGACCGCAGCTCGAGCACTCCTTTAGAAACTCCAGTGTAGCCACGACAAGCTGGAATCGCACCAGACGAGCAAAATCTTCTCCCAGATGGACTGCCCCTAGAGCTGAGACCGGCGGACGATCTTTCCCCTCCCACCGACAACACTCGCAACCCCAATCGACCAACCCAGCCACACAACTTACCAGCCACCAAAGTCGTGCGTCTATCCTACGCCCAACCACCAAACCAACACTGGAGAGAGGAAAGAGCGAAGGGAGAGTCTTATCTCGACCCTGACTAGCGCCGGGGAGGCAGGTCGAAGTCCGACGAACTAGCCCTATTCGGAACTCAAATAGCCCTGTACAGCGACATAGGCATACCCTTTAATTCGGCGAGCCTACACCTGGGGGGATCTTCGGCTCCAAGAGGGGCGAGCTTCTCGGTCAGGCCGAAATCAGATCTCATGAAGAGACATGTGAAGAATAGTCATTATGTTGATACCTACATGCTACACTAGGTGCACATGAACTACTGGAATATCACTTGTGAGTTGTCCCATATTGATTTTACAGGGTAAATGAACCTAGCTTATAAGCCTTTGGGGTTACTCCTCTCACCAATTAGTTGTGAGATGGAACATCACTAAGGTGCACCCCTCTTATGGTGCGCTTCACCTGGTGAGACCGCACCCTCTTCCCCCGGTTTTAATATGATATCAGAGCGGGTGTATCCTAGGACCTGCAATGACTTTCTCTACCCGACCTACTCTGTTGGCTTAGGCTTACGAATGACTCACAAATGAGGTCGTGTTGGAATATCACTTGTAAGTTGTCCCACATTGATTCTACGGCATAAATGAGCATAGTTTATAAACCTAGTGGACTACTTCTCTCATCACCAATTGATTTTGGAATGGAACTTTCCTAAGATGCACCTAAACTCACACTCTTAAGGTTCGCTTCATCTGGTGGGACCGCACCTTCTTCTTTGGTTCTAATATGAACAATAGTCATTTTGTTGATTTGGTACCTAAACTATACGTATTTTAATCAACTAGTGTACTACACCATGAGAATATCATATAAATAATTTCTTTAATAATTATGCATTTATTTAGTTACTTCTTACTCTTGCGGTCTACGGTTTTTTTAATATTATATATATGTATGTTTCATAGTTTATAAAGTTTTATTATTTTAATTAATTAATTAGCAAATTAATGTTTGCGAAATTTTTTATTTAATTTTTTATATTATAAACATATTAATTTTTCGTTTTGATCTAGTAATTTGCACAATGGTTTAGATGATCTTTTATTTAACGATTTAATTCATATTAAGCCTATTTTCTTATATGTAGGTGGAATATTCCCTGTGTATAGATGAAAAGTATATTAGGTATATATATAATGGCAACCAAAATCTAATTTATTTTCATATTAATTTGTAGTCCGACTATCTACCTTGTTTATATCGAATAAAAATCACATGTTTGATTAATATGCAGGGAAGAGAATTATGAAATAATCTGAACTCAATTTCTTATTATAAAACACAGATTTACTAATCAGTACAAGTATATACGTCCAGATTCAACTAATCACCTCTCTTTATATAATTCACAGTTTTTCTCCTCTTTCACAACTCAATTCCCAATTCTCTTTCACAGCCTCTCTGTTTTTTCCTCCACCACACACACAAACACACACATCAATGGCCGACGCCGCCCTGAAGAAGCGCTCCGGCTCCTCCGACGACCAGTGGGACCAGCTCGCCGCCGCCAAGAAGCACCACACGGCGAGGCCGCCGCCCCACGCCGCCGACCCCGCGGCGGCGATGGCGGCCTCCCGGCACGAGTTCGGCGAGCACGGCGGCGTGAACATGTCTATCGAAGCCTCCGCCACGTTCACGGTGATGGAGCCGGACACCCTCCGGCGGATGTTCGCCGGCGAGCTCGGCCCCGACCGGGACTTCTTCGTCTACAGCCGCCACTTCAACCCCACCGTGCTGAACCTCAGCCGGCTGCTGGCCGCCATGGAGGGGACGGAGGCGGCCTACTGCACCGCCTCCGGGATGTCGGCGATCGTGTCGGTGCTGGTCCAGATTTGCAGCTCCGGCGACCGGCTGGTGGCGTCGCACACGGTGTACGGTGGGACCCACGCGCTGATGTCGCACTTCCTGCCGCGCGTGGCGAACATAACGACGTCGTTCGTGGACATCGGCGACCTGGCGGAGGTGGAGAGGGAGGTGGGGAAAGGCGGCGTGAAGGTGCTGTACTTCGAGACGATGTCGAACCCGACGCTGACGGTGGCTAACGTGCCGGAGCTGTGCAGGATAGCGCACGATAAGGGGGTGACGGTGGTGGTGGACAACACGTTTGCGCCGATGGTGGTGTCTCCGGCGAGGCTGGGGGCGGACGTGGTGGTGCACAGCATCACAAAGTTCATCAGCGGCGCGGCCGACATTAACGCAGGTCCGATTGCTTTTTTATTTTTTTATTACTTTTTTCTTTGTGCTTTTTATTACGTGGTAATAATTACTATGGTGGGGTGGGTTACACAAAAATGGCAATTATTAATTGTTAATTATTCTTAATTAATTTTGATTGAGGAAAAAGGTTTTACTTATTGGAGGGTATGGAATCCAAGATTTAAATTTATGCTAAAAATAATTATTAATCAATTTACAAAGCAACATATACTCCATAGAATCTAGGATGCCTCGACATGTCTTAATTTGATACTTTTAGTGCAATTCTAAAGTTTAATAAAACTAAAGGCTTTAAGATATTTTTATTTTATTTATGTGATGCACCTATAAATCTTAAGTTTAAGTGTATAGGTATGATATCTCAATTATGCCTTAAATCTTAGTGGAAAATAAACCTGTAACTTCTTCAAATCTCATTTAAATATTCTGTCTACTTTTAAATTTTTTTGAAAGTTCAAAACAATGCCTTGAGATTTTTTAAAAGTTTAAAGAATTTCAAATTGAATCTAACAGCATTCTTAAAATTTCGAAATGGTAATTACAAATTTGGAATAAACTACTCTCCTAAAAGCAGCACAAAAGCTCTATATTATTATTACCAATTAATATTTCAAATTATCTCCATTAATAATGAGGTGGGACCCACAATTTCTCTGCATCTGCTTTAACTTACTATCTCTCTACCTAACATACTGTCCTTACCTTTCCCATGAAATGTTTCTCGTGATTTTCATCTACACGAAAGTAGTTTGTTTTGGTCACTCACATGTGAACCTCCATTGTCCACTAGTTTCCAAATTCTAATAGCAACAAAACTCTCTTAGTAAAAATTAATGTATTATTTCCTCCAAACTATCAAATTCCATCAGTAATGAAATTAACATAGCATATCAAAAAATCAAAAATGAAAATCAAATTGATTTCTTATTGTGAATTAGAAAATCATTAATTTAACACAAAAAAAATAAAATAAAATGTTAAGGTGCAATTTGCGGGCCTGCGAAGCTAGTGAACTCCCTGATGGACCTCCATCAGGGAGCCCTCATGATAATGGGCCCAACTATGAACCCAAAAGTGGCCTTTGAGCTCTCTGAGCGCCTCCCCCACTTGGGCCTCCGCATGAAGGAGCACTGCCACCGGGCCCACGTGTTCGCCACCCGTATGAAGGGCCTCGGGCTCAAGGTCATCTATCCGGGCCTTGAAGACCACCCGGACCACGCCTTACTCGAGTCCATTTCAAACCCGGGCTACGGCCACGGTGGCATCCTCTGCCTCGACATGGGCTCTGAGGAACGGGCCTACCGCTTAATGGGCCTCCTTCAGAACCACACGCAATTCGGGCTTATGGCAGTTAGTCTCGGGTACTATGAGACTCTAATGTCGTGCTCGGGCAGCAGCACGAGTAGCGAAATGAACGAAGAGGAGAAAGCCCGAGCAGGCATCTCGCCGGGCCTAGTTAGAATGTCAATCGGGTACACGGGCACGTTGGAGCAGAAATGGGCCCAATTTGAGAAGGCCTTGGCCCGAATGCAGAAGATGTGATCAATTTTTATTTCATACTCATTTGTCATTTGTGT